CTGCACACAGCGCCCCTGCACACAGCGCCCCCTGCACACAGCGCCCCCTGCACACAGCGCTGCAGCCGCACCCCCTGCACACAGCACCCCCTGCACACACCACTGCAGCACCCCCCACACAGAGCACTGCGGCCTGGGCAGGTGTATTGGCCCCTGGTAATTGCATTTGATTCCGAAGCACTGACAAGGAAGATGTTTTAAATCCAAAGTGGGAACCGAGTTTGAAGAGTCCCTGTCTTTTCTAGGTGTTTGCCTGGGCAGGCCAGGCCGGCTGCACGTGCTGTCTGCACACACTCGTCCATATTCGTGGCATCGTGGATCACTCACTGTCTGAGGGGGACGGGGTGGCCTCTGAGCCTGGCCCTCCTCTGGCCTCCAAATCCTGAGAGCCGTTCCCAGTCTGCAGAGCACCTGCGGGCCACGTGGCAGCGACTTCGTGGGACCCCCTCCCTACTGTCATGGCGGGCGCCCCATCCCGCCTGCCTCGATGCTTAGCATGCTTCCTGAACGGGGAGGACCGGCCACGTGCACAGACGGCGAGCCCACTGCTCAGTTCAGCGAGCAGGGGACGGGGTCCCAGAGACCCTGACAGCGTCTGGGCAGGAACAGCTTCTGAGCTATGGCCTGGAGAGGTGAGAGAGGCGACCTCCCCTCCTCCCCATGTTCCCGTCAGTCACTGCTGGCTGTCATGGCTCTCCTGGGACCTGGCTGGAGTCTGGAGTTCAAGGCTGAGCTGGAACTGTGCCTGTGCAGGACCCATGAGGACAGCCTGTTAGAATCTCTCCCTTCTGCCACTTGAGTCCCCTGGGTGTCTGATGGGACACTGGAGTCCCATGCATCGTAGGAATGCTTACGCAAAACCTGCTCCCATCAGAGGCTGATTTTGGGGGAAGAAACACGAGGGTGAACTGGACAGAAAGAGGTGTCCCGCTCGCTCACCCCCCTGTGAGACATTCCTGGGGCAGAGAACTCGACGGCCCACACACCCACCTGCAGGTTCTGCAGGCCTCCGTAGGCCGTGAACAGCAGCAGGAACCCGAAGGAAACCACCAGCACGTTTTTCAGGCTTTGGTCCATGGGGGGGCTGCAAGGGCGAACCTCGGCAGATGAGGAGCTCGGTGGCACCCTGAGGGAACCGGGGGGGGGGCAGAAAAAGCAGGCTGGGCCGAGGCGCGGCACTCCCTCCCTCCCTGCCTCTCTCCCTCTCTCCTGAGTCAAAGGTGACTTAGTATCAGTGCTTTTGTCAGTGAGTGAACCTGGTGACCTCGGACAGGCACAAGGCTGGCCAAGGGCCGGGACCCATTCTCCCGGCTGTGATCCACAGCGACCCCTGCTTCATTAAGGCCAGGAGATGAGGGATCTGATGGGCGTGTGTGGGACTGCACCTGCTCCTGTGAATTCCTAGTAGACACGGTGCTTATTGGAACATGCTGAATTTCACACACACACACAGTGGTACCTTCCACCAGATGAACTGTCAATGGTGCAGAACCTGAGACGTACTTCAGTCTTAAAGAGCTAAGTCAGCTTCAAGACGCATAGTTCAGCTTCGGGAAAAACAGTGAACGTGATTGCAAGAGGCAGGGGCCAAAGTCTTAACACCTTGAAGGCATAGGAGTTTACAGCACTGCAGTCATAAAGTAAAAAGATAAAAAAGAAGTGCCTGTGAGTGTGTTGTTATTAGGTGCTGTGGAGTTGGCTCTGACTCACTGCGACCCTGTGCACAGCAGATCGGAACACCGCCCGGTGCGGCGCCAGCCTCACGACCCTCACCGTACCTGAGCCCATCCTTGCAGCCAGTGCGTCAGTCCTTCCTGATGAGGGCCTCCCCTAGTACCTCTCAGTTTGCAAAGCCCCTGTGCACGCATCGTTCTATTTGACCCCACAATGGAGCTGTCATCATGTCGGGAGAACTCATCCTGGGACGGGCAACGGACTTCAGGAAAGCGCTGACTCGGGCCTAGAACCACCCAACAGAGGCCTCCGCGCCGCCCTGCACGGCGGCCACTAGCCGTCTGCGGCTATGCAGCCCTGGGTACGTGGCTGGGCACCTGAGAAACCCAATTCAAAACTGCACGTCATTTAATTAACTAGACCCAGTGGCCACATAGGGCTACTCTACTGGGCGACGCCTGGCGAGAGCTTGGAGAGGCTTCACCAGAATCTCGAGCGAATAAGCAGGAGAAATGAAGCTTTCCTTTGATTGTCAGGGAAGCTGGACGTCCGCAGACGGTTCCCAGAGTTCTGTGTGGGTGGTCGTTTCTGTCTGGCTGTGATTTTTCAGGCAGGCCTTGCGACGTTGGTGAGGGTAGTGCCTGGCCACACAGTTTCAGGAGTCAGGGCCCCACTGTGTGAGAAAGCACGCGCTCTTCAGCCTGACCTATTCCTATGAAAACAGAATCATTATGGAAGTAACAGTCTCCCTGAACTATTGACTAAACGTGAATTATCCTGTTTCTGCAGACATGAGAGCAATAGTCTGGTACAAGGACGCTTAGCACACAGAGATACGAGGCCTAGATTCGCATCCCAGTCCTGGAACAGGGAGCTGGTCAGTGGCAGCCAGGGCATGGTACTTGCTGGACACGGTTTCTCTTGGGAAGGACGGTGGCCAGAGTTCAACAAACTAAAACAGACAGAAGCCGCTGGAACAGCTGGGAGCCCAGCAGTTGCCAGCCAGTGCTAACTGACTTAAGGGGACAGGTTGGCTTTGAGAGGAAATGCCAACTGGACCAGTCATTGAAGAAATGCAGAACCTGGCACACGTGGACTGTTTGTTGTTGTTTTACACTAAACTTATTATCAAGGAGCTTCAGTTAATTATTAATTAATGAGTTCCTACTCATGATTAGGGAGCTCTGGTAGCATAGTGGCTAAGACACTTGCCTGCTAACCAGACGGCTGGCGGTTCAAACCCACCAGCCACTCCCCGGAAGGAAGGTTGGGCAATCCTACTTCCGTAGTGATACTGCCTCGGAAACCCAAGGAGGGGTCGCTATGAGTCGGGGCCGACTCGATGGCACATAACAACAACAACTCATGATTAGGTAGCCCTTTTTAAAATTTTCTTCCTTTTCAGGTAAACCTTTAATTTAACTTCACTTCTGCCCTATGTGTAAAGCCAGACCAAACCTGACGTCAGGTAGATTCTGACTCACGATGACCTCACGTGTCGCAAGGTAAAACTGGTTCCCCAGGGCTCTGGAGGCCGTGCTCCTAGAGGGCCAGACAACCAGGACCTTCTGCGGTGCCACTGGCTGCGTTTCAATCGCCAACCTTCAGGCTGGTAGCCAAGTGCAAACCAGGCACACTGCCCGCTGACCTGGCCTGTCTGCAACGGTCCGCGGGTTATCTGCACTTTGGTTCCAGGCTTTTCTAATATCCTCCTCTGTGGCTCTCTACCCTCCGTCCCACACTGCTGGCCCCGGTACTTTCTCTCCGGGTTTGTGGCCTGGCTCTGGGGGGCATCTTCCAGCAGCTGCCATTTCCAGCTCTCCACAGTCAGATGCCTCTGCTCAGGACTTTATGGGGCACAGAGAACACCCTGCAGGCTTGTTTCTTTCTCTCCAAGTCCCCGCTGTCCCCAGCTGCAAAGACGCATTCACCCGACCTCATGACCCTAGCCCAGTCCAGCCTCCACTTTAAGTCCAAAATCATCTTCTGACTCAAATATCAGAGATGGGGGAGACTCTGGGCCTACTCCGTCCTGGGGCAAAATTCCTCTCCGTCCGTGGGCCCACGAGACCTAGAAGACATGGTACCCACTTCCAAAGCACATCTGCAGAGGCATAGAGCAGGCAGTCCCATTCCAAAGGAGGGAAGCTAGAGGGGAAGGAGGAGCCGCGGGCACCACGCGCGTCCCAAGGCCAGCAGGGCAAAGGCCAGTGGAAAGCCATCTGTTCTCTGGGGTCCACTGCTACGGCTCCACCCTCCGGACACCGGGCCGTGGCCGTGCTCTCTGGAATCACGAACAGAGGAAGGCAGTTGTCTTCCCAAGATCCACCTGATTCACCGAGAAATCACATTCCTGGAGACACGTCTGGGGTGCGGAGGGAGAACGGCAGGATGGGCGGTTCCGGAGGTCCCCAAGCGTGACTACGGCAGACGGCAGTGTTCTAGCTGAACGCCCCCAGGGCCCATGAGCTGGAAGCCAGAACTGATCTCCAGAGGGCTAAAGGGAGTCGGAAGTGACACTGGCCACCGAGAGAGAAGAGGCGATTCTGTAGCTCTGCTCGAATTCTGTTGGTCACACGGATGTCACACAGCCTGGCCTGCCAGAAAGAGAATCCTGGAGCCCACGGGACGTTTACTAAAGGGAGTGCTGTTAGCAGCCACTAGATGTCGCTGTGCCCCAGCACTGAGCTCACCAAGGGCCCCCGGGTTTTGTGTCCAGGATCTTCTCACAATCACGGAATCATTTAGCTCTGGACTAAAGGTGGCTCTCAGCTTAAGGGCAGTCGGTCAACAGTTCGCTTTTTGAAAGAGAGCTCTCGTGGGAGCAGACTGCTATCAATTTTCTTGACTTTTCAATCTGGCACTTTGCTAATAAAACAGTACCATGTCAATTCAAATTTGCTCCCTTCCTTAGTGACGCTTTTGTTTTCTACATAGGAATCCTTACACTTTAGAATGAAGGCACTCAGCGCTTTGCTAAAAAATAAAATAAAAAGGAGAAGCGATTTCTGTGAGCACAGCTCTGGCTGGAGAAGGGAGAACACACTTTCAGCAAATACTCCAAACCCTCCAGCAGCGGGTGCGGTGGACACTGCGGCTGGGCTGGGACGCTGCGCTCCTGGGTCTCTGGGGTCCCGACCAGCGGTGCTGCCAGCCAAACCCACTGCCCTGAAGTCTAGTCTGACCCACAGCGCCCCTAGAGGACAGAGTGGAACTGCACCCCAGGGTCTCCAAGGCTGTCAATCTTCACAGAAGCAAAGCCCAAACCACACCCACT